AGGAAAATCTGGAAATGAATAGCTTCATTACTTACAAAACTGCAGTCAATGCTATATTATTAACTGGATGCGTAGATGCATTTCTTTCACTTCAGAGCTTGCTTTGTTATGCAGCATACATGTATCCTTCAAGTCCTGCAGCACACACAGGCATTATTCTTCATCAGCTTTCAGTTAGAAAACAGGTTTGGAAGATTGCAGCTCCAGAAATGAAAAGATTAAATGGCACAAAGAGGGGTTTGTTCCACAGCTTTATGATGCTTATGGCTTCTTTAATTGAAACAAAGATTCTTAGCAGCTAGAAAAATGGTGACTGGCTTTTTTTTTTCCCCTTTAATATTTCCTAGGATGAAACTAGAGCAGAAGTTCCCCCTGGAGCGCCACAGGAAAGATCTGCAGTTATTGTTGAAGTAGACAATATGGAGCTAAATGAACTCAGAAAAAGGTCAGGACTGAGACATGTATTAGCAATATTGTTTTCCTGACAGCTGTGTTGTGAGTGCAGAAGTAATGCTTTTCTATCCCTCTAAGACATTTTGGGGGAGAAGGGATAGAAGTGGATTTACAGTGGATTAAATGAATCATAGTTGTCCTTGTGAATTGTTACAATCTGCTGGTATTTGTGGTTTGGTGGTGTAAAGATACACACTTATTGGTGACTATTTCAATATCTAATTTAAAGACAATTAAGTCTTTATCGCAAAAAAAAGAGCATTCCTTAATAAAAAAAAGAACAAGAAAGTAATTCTTTAAGTACATCAGATGCTGATCTCACGTTTCATTTTGTCACAGGCTTGCAGAGACTGAGCAACAATATGATTCAGTGCAGCAGGCACTCACGCAGCTGACAGAAACACTGTCAGAAGAGAAGAGGAGGAGAGAAGCTGCAGAAGAAGCCCTTGGGCTCTCTGAGGAGCGAAGTAACAGGTAAAATACTCCTGGTTATAAAACATGGGGTTTTTCCTTCCGAAAGAAGAGTGTCTGTAAAATGTAATTACTTCTTTTCTTACACTTTTGAGCGTGTGACAGTTAGATTGCTGCATTAAAGCCTTATGTGGGTATGAAATAACTTGCATGTTCAGAGAGCCAAAGCCATCTTTCACCTCTGCTTCTTCCCCTTGGATGAATGCATGGTGAGGTTTTCATTTACACTATGTCTGGAGTAAATGCAAAGCCTGCTACAGAACTGGAAAAAGAAGGGTCAGATTTTTTGCCTTTTGTTTTTAGTGAGATTAGTGGTAGGTTTTCCTGTAGGTGTTAGATTTCTGAGCAAGTAACAGAACAAATAGAACAGACAACTAATAGAGCCTGTTTGTGAGTCCGTGCTACATGAAGCAGTGGAGACTGTGTTAAAAAGCTAGGTTTAACTCTGTGGCCTCTGCTGTTGGACTCAGTAGTCAGGGGTATTTATTTTCTTCCAAGTTAGAAAAAAAGCCTCAAGTATAACAGCTTTAGCACAACCACAGTTTAGAGTTGAAGTACCATTATCCACCTGGCTACGTAAAATGTCCATTGCTGCCATCATCTGAAAATCACCGTTCAATCAGCTAGTGGTGATGGGGGCTCTTTTGAATAAGTAAACCACCTTGAAAGTAGATTGTAAATAGAGACTGAAAAAGACCTGGCAACATAAACTAAGTCTTCCTGCTTTTTGTGAGGACCTTCCCCTATTAATGTATGTATGCAAAACAATGTTTCTGATGTGAATTCAGTACTTTAACAGAGGAGGTAATTCAGTACTCCACTGTCTCCCTTTATTTTCAGATTTGAAGTGAGCAGTTACAGGTCTGTACCTAGTGAATACACCGTTCAGATGGAAGCAGAGGAGGAAAGGGAAGCCTTAATCATCAATCCCAGTGAACATGTTGTTGTGCGAAAGGTAAGTGAATGAAAGCTTTTAAACCCCTGCATTATAAGCTACTTAACAGAGGTGTGCATATTGTATGCTGGTATTTGCAGGCTAGATTGAAGACAGCACACCTTATGATCTGCCTCATGCTACCCCTTTGTTTTTATTGTGTTCCCTCCACTATACCTTTGTTTCTAATCTCATTCATTCTTGGGAGTGCAGATTTCCCTTCTGAGTGATTGGAAGTCACTGTTTTTGGCTTGTCCTCTACACATAAACACAGGCATGAAGCAGCTGCTTGCCTAATCTGCCTTGTCTCTGAAAAGATGTGAAGTGCTCTTTTATCCTGTTAGTATCATGGGGATGGATGGGCCATAGAGGCACCCATTCTGAGTCGTAAACTACTACTGAAACTACATCTTACTCTAAAAATGTCTTAAATTTCTTTCTGTTTGAGTTGTGGATGGTGAATCAAATAGAGGCAGCTGTAATCCATGCCATAGAATATATTACATCTGTCCAAATTAAAGCATGAGTAACCATATTTATATTGTACGTGTGGCCATTAAATAAAATGTGTATGCATATAATTATGCATTTTCATCCCTAGTGTGTTTATGTAATTACATAATACACAAATACATTCTATCCGTTCCTCTCCCCTTTTATTAATGCTGTTTTCTTTGGCCTTTAAATCATTTCTGCTTACAGCCTGTGCTGTGGTGCCCATTGCTGCACCAGAGGCAAAAGGTTTAGAGTGGCTCAGAAATCCAAGTTGCAGTGGAGCTTCCTTTCATTTGTATTCATGAATACTTACTGGATGCTTTTCGTTTCCTAACCAGATGAAAGGAGGAGCCCTTTCCATCCGAAGATGGCTTCAAGGGCGAAGTCTTTACTGTTCTAAGCTGCTGACCTCAAGAGCAAAATCCCGCTATTTATTCCTCACGTACCTGGTTACACTACATCTTCTTGTTTTACTGTGCCTCACAGGTGTTCTCTGAATACACTGCGTTTTCTTGGGTAACTTACTTCCCTGTAGGTAATGGCGTGCCAATTCAAGATTATAGACTTTTCACATGCTGCTGTTACGCTATGCACTGGACACAGTTGTATATATTCTTGTTACACTACATGAATCTTGAGCTTCTAAACAGAAATGTGTGTATATCACAGTTGCTCCAAAGTTGACTTGAATCACTCTTTACCAGTGGAATATTATATTTGCTAAGGAGAAAAGATTTCCCTCTGCCCTATAAAGAAACTGCTGCATACAAGTTATTTAATATTGTTTGTGAGTACATAATGATTGATTACTACTGAATGGGTTGTAAATGATATCTTTTCTATATAAATTTTATTTTAAGAGTTAAACTATAAATTTTAAAGGAATATTCAGCTATTACTGTTCACTGGCTTCTTGATTATAACAAGGAGTTTTATAGAGTGCAATAAAGGAAGAACTACTGGATTTTTGATTTAAATTTTTTGTTTGGGTGTTGTTTGGTTTGGGGTTTTATTTTCTGGCTGAAAATAAAAGAATGATGAAGGTTGTTCTGTGGCTGTACAGTTTGTAATGGCTGTGGCAAGGTGTGCAGATATGTGTGTGGTAAGGAAGTAAGCCAATGATTAAAGATCCAGAATTGAAATGACATGAAGAAATGTCTTCAACTTCTTATATTCCTTTGCTGTTGGTTAAAGGTTCAATTTCCCTATTTTTTCTTGTGATTTTTTTCTTTGTTTAAATTCACTCAAACTTGTCTTGGTGGGTTTAGTTACTGCCCGTCTTTGGGGCAGAATTACTCAGCTGCTCAACATGTGAAATTCAGCCTGACATATTTTACATGTTTGGGCTTCAAGGTACAAATGAATAAAGGGTTTGTTTTCAACCAAGAGGCTCTAAGAAGCAGGATTTACATTCAGTTGCTGTAGACAGCTAATAGTGTTATGTGTTGCATATTAATACATTCATGTTTTGTTACAGTTTTCCCTGAAACCACACAACTATTTATCTCATTCAAAAAATAACTGATTTGTGAAGACTGTGGCTGCTGGAAGCTGGAAGGTTGCTTTTTAACCCTTGGAGTATTGTTTTCTGGTGCTTCTGCTCTCATCTGTATAAAATGGAGATAAAATCAAAACCACCTGAGTCTAAGGGAGTAGACTCACGAAAGAATAGTAGCCGTTTGGTTTCCAGTTTGGTAGACTAAAATCCTGAAAACCTTGTGGGAAAAGAAAAACCTAATGAGTATGGAAGTGGAAGGATTCCATCAGTTTTACTAATGGGCACATTAGTAATGCTAGTGAAGTGAATTATCTGCTTAAGGTCCAAGGAGTCTTGTGTGTGAGGTCTGAGCAGTCGCATGGCAGGTAAGAAAGAGGGATCTGTGTTTGCAGAGTTAACATTTGCCATATTCTATCTAATGTCCTGCATCCTTGTTTTTGTCAGGTGTCATAGGAGATACTGCCAGGCATAGTTAATACTGCAGGTAAATCCTGTGAATCTTATTTTTTTGATGGTTCTTTAATATTAGTCTAGCAAAGTTCTGAATTTCTATATAAGTCCAATCTATTCCAATATAACTGATGTCCTTTTTATTGTAGAGTGGTAATGGCTGCTCTCTTTTGAATGGCTGATTGCTGATTCAGTCCCTGTTTTCAGCCATAGTGTCACCCAAGTCCTGAGATAAGTCAGCTATTTCAGTCTTCGTGCTGCACAAACAAGCACCAGGTACGGTTGAAACATAAGAGTACTGTACATGTGAAGACTTCTCCCTTTCCAGCTTGAAGATGAGTGTTAACAGAATGATAGTGAGCTATTCTTAGCTAATTGTGTTATATCAAAGCAGAATGTTTCCCAGTGAGAACAGTGGACCTACAGATCCTTCTTGTCTTACTCATCCACTGTGAGGGATTTTTGTCTTCAGGGGAGAAAACAACCCTCTGTCATGAGGCAGAGCAAGTTAGGGGGAGTGGGAAAGGATCCAGAGATGTTAGAAATTCTGCCCTAATTTATCCAGGCCTTTGTGCTGTCACTGTGATAAGCACAAGCTGAGGATAAAAGTGTCCAAAAATGGCTTGACACATGTAGATATTCTGTGAACTCCATTCCAGAAGCTAATATAAATGTGATGAAAGGTGAGATCATTCATTTATGAGGAGCTTTTACAGATCATCACCATTTCCTGGGTAAGTATTGCCCTGAGAGTTTTCTCATCTTACAGCTTAGGATTTTAATACTTACTTCACTTAGTCTGGGATCTTTTCAGGATGTACACATTTCTTCCTGGACTTGGATGCTGTTTGCCTCAAGCTTTGAAGGAATTCCAAAGTGTCTTCTGGGGTAAGGTAATTTGGATTTGACAACATGGTTGTAGGGAAACGTACAGACATTCCTTAGAGCTGGAAGGATTGGTAGAGTGTGGTCTCTTTGAGACCTGGAAGAACATTTCAGTGTGTTTGCTGTTATCCTGGGAATACTATTTCTCACCATAGAGGATTAAACATCTTGCTCCTATCCAACCAAGGAGCAGCGCTAAACTCTCAGAGCCTTGTAGCCCTGCTCTGCTTTAAAATTCTCTACTCTTAAATTCTAATATCACATCTGACGTAATGTCTGATATAGTTAAGAACTGATTTTCCTTCTGGTTTACACTGATGGAATCAGAGCCTCTGTGCAGGTCTGAAATGCTGGGTACTGCTGGTAAATGGTTGGTTTATTGCACTTTTAAAAGCCTTTTCCTGTGGGTTTTAGAACAAAATAACAATTCATGGCAATGGGAATCAATGCTCAAAAATACTGGTTGCTAGAATTAGTGGTTAAACAGTCCTATATTAAAGCTGTTAACAAATTAAAGTGATGAAATTGCTGTGCTTCCTTATGTGAAAATCTTCCAGTCACATGTACATCAACAAGAATTAGAATTATTTTCTTCTTTAAAATAATGTCATGTTTTCAAGTTACACTTCCGTTTCACCTGTAGGTGTTGGAATCAGTCACAGTCTTGCTTTGTAAAGCATATAGGAAAGGACTGAACACCAGGAAGCATTAATTTGGTTGCAGGGCAGACCCTAATGTTGGTGGCTGCTCCGCCACCACTCCTGGCATGCCAGTGCACACAGGGCTTAGGTGAAACTATAATGCCATCAGAAGACAAACACCTTTTTGCATTAACAGCAAGAATGATGCTTCATACATTTTTTTGCATTGTTAAAGACAAGAACTTTGTTGGACAAGTAGTGTTTGTCATTCCTTTCTGAAGTACGTTTCCTTACCAAGTAAAGTTGCCAGAGAAGGAAGATCAAAAAGCTTCCTTCTACTCAACTGCCTAAAGAGGCAATGATACAGTCCTTAAAATAAACAAGGAATTTGAAGCAGAAGTCTTGGCGAGATTCAGGCCCTCCCTCAGTGGGAGTTTTGCCATGAATTCCAATGAGTTCGGGACTTCGTCTAATGTGTTGGCCAGCTGCTGAAGTTGAGTTGTTCCTGGGCTGCCTCTTGTCCTCTTTCCTAGAATAACCACTTTGATAAGGTATTTACCACTTACAAATATGGAATAGGTCCTGTAGTGAGCACTTCACATCACAGAGTAGGTGCCATTTAAAAACACACAGCAAATGATTCCCTGAAACTTTCAGTAGGGGTTATTTTTAGTTGGTTGCTTAAGACTGATGATGACCCTCAAAGAAAAAGGCAAATTGAAATATGCCACTGTGGTCTCGGAAGTAATAAATGTTTACCATCTAACTGCTAACATTAGAACTGGTAGGTCCATATCATCAATTGATTTTTAACAAATGACATTTCCAGAGGATAATTCAGGCTTGGAAGAGATGCTTAAGTCCAAATAGAGGTGAATGTGTATCCTCTAGCTGAACTTATCCCATGGTCGTGAGGCCAATTAAAAGAGTATCACAGGACCCCTTGAGGCTAAAGGAGAGCTTTCCCTTTTGGAAACAAAACCTGAATGTCATGATTAATTTGTCTGTTGAAGCTGAACTTTGTGTGGACACATAACATGCTTTGCAAGATTAGGGCTTTAGTGTAGCCTTTGCTGTTTAGGCTTATTCTTTTCCCAGACTATTCCTTTTACAGCAGTTTGCTGTCTAAATTATAGAGAGTTGCTTCTGTCCGATTCCCTTCCGTTTGCTTCCCTCCCATCCCTCCAAATCACTGTCTTGCAGCCAAAATTGTGAGACGCTATGTGCGATGATGATGAAACTACTGCACTTGTATGTGACAATGGTTCTGGGCTTTGCAAAGCTGGGTTTGCAGGAGATGATGCCCCCAGAGCTGTATTTCCATCCATCGTTGGAAGGCCTCGACATCAGGTCAGTATCAAAATGAAAGTTTGGGGGGTTGGTTTGGGTTGGTTTGAGGGTTTTTTGGGACTTTAAATGTGGCAGTGAGAAAGCATCAGACTTATTCCCATCGGCCCTTGTAGGAGTTTAGCATGTTAAGAACTGGAGGATTGAGCTGCACATATTTATCACTGTGAGGTTGAATTACTTTATCCTTTGGAAAAGGGGTTCTTCAGCCATAAGGTGTTGGCTAAAGAGGAACACGAGTGTCTTAATGGTATGAAGGTGTCGTATAGGGAAAAAAAGCCCAACTTGTTAGATAAATTAATACTTGCTGTATCAATACAAAGGAAAAAGATAAGCAGAATAGTGTTAAGTTCCTTTCCTTACTTTAGTAAGTAAAAGTATGGCCCAATGAACTTCTAAAAAAGGTCTCTAGCACATCACTTGAATAACTCGAACGAGACTAGAAAGGATAAATGTGGCTTTTCTTGACCTTCTTTCTGCTTAGCTGTTTTTGTAATAGATCCTTTATGAATAGAAAATGCAAATTTGTGTTCATTTTATTCATATCTGAGTCAGATTTTAATTTTCTGGGCTACAGAAACCCTTCCCTGAAGTTCTAGGTGGACTTTTGCTGAGCTAAAAGAGCCTGGTTTGACAGGTGTAAAATACTAAGCATTTTGAAGTGCATTTTGAACACCTGTATGAATCACTGCAGTTGAATATCAGTTGTTGAAAACATCCATTATTTAACCTCCCTTTGTTCATTGTCTTTTGGCATGTAACTGTGCACAGTGAAGCTGCTCAGCAGCTGTAATCATGGATAAATAGTAAAAATTAATTCTTTGTTTGCTAACTGATATATAATAAATTACCTCATATGTATTTATATTATTTGGGGCAATCACAATAGGCTTCCTAATGCAAACATGATAAACATTGTAAAACTATTATTTAGTGAGTTTTCTTTTAGAAAATCTGTCTTGCTTTTATAGAAATTAAAGCTTTTTCCCCAAAACATATTTTTCAAAGCTATTTAACTTCCAGCAAGGGGGGATCTCACTGTTTAAAGGTAAATAATGGAACTGCCTTAAGCAGAAAGTGCAACCTAATATATAAAGGAAATCTAGGGAGATTATCTCTTTTCCCCCTACAATTCCTTCTCTTTATTCCTTTGCACAATGACAAAGAGCCCATCACTTGTGGAGAACCATGAGTGTGGTGCTGGCTGCCGTGCACCTGCATGGGCATTAGTTGCACCAAGTGTGGGGTGCCTTCTTTGGGTTTTGAAGCTGCCTTGCTCTTCCTGCTGGGTTTATAGAGGGAGTTAGTACAGAATAGGTGGTTACTGATCAGTTCACATTTTAGTTCCTTGCATGTTTTGGGGGTACGTGCTGGAACAGCAGCAGCAGGTACAGTGTTTCACATGAAGTTGTAATCTAAAATGATGTTCTGTCTCTAATGTGTGTGAGGTACTGCACTAATAGGATGTTATACTAAAAGGATGTTATACTTTGCAGGGTGTTATGGTTGGAATGGGTCAAAAAGACAGCTATGTAGGGGATGAAGCACAAAGTAAGAGAGGGATCCTGACACTGAAATATCCCATCGAGCATGGAATCATCACTAACTGGGATGACATGGAAAAGGTGGGTGTTAATTTTTAATGTAATGATGGAGGCATCATCTTATCTAAGACAAACCATTTGCTATTAACCTTCTTGCAAACCAAAGGGAAAATCCTTGAAGACTTTCCATCACAGCATAGGTAAAGGGATACAGTATGCTAGTACAGGAGTTGATGAGGTCTTGGTACTTCTTGGGTTACTTTTCATTTAGAGTAAATGCTTATTGCTCATCAGAGTTGACAGTATGTTATAAAAGTATTTTGTGCTTTATACATACTCTTTGGAGTCTTAAAGTACTTACTGAGGCAGAACATTTGACAACGTTAGAAAGTAGTGAAAGTAAAACAAAACCAGGTTGTGATTCAACAGAGGTGAATCAGAGAAATATTCAAGATACATTACTGATGCTGGGAACAAAACCTGGGAAGTGAAGGGGTGATTTTCTCTCCCCAGTGCTTGTCTACATGAAAACATGATGGGTGATGCCCACATCTTGTATTGTGTGTGACATTCTCACTGTCAGTTAAAGAGGGAAAGACGGGTTGGCAGCCAGAGCAAAGACCTCATAGTGAAACGCTCACTTAAGGATGTCCCTGACCAGACAATGAGGTGTGCTCATGGGAGAAGCTGGAGAGCAGGGGTCTGAAGGGCACTCACTCTGCTGAGTATCCCTGGTATCCCTTGTATCCTGGTCTCATCAGGAAGCATCTGAATCTGTATGTAGAAATCCTGTACCTCTTCCTTAGAGACAGGATTGCAGTTCAGTCACTTGTCTCCAGGTGAAATGATATAGGAAGGAAACTCCACAAGCAAATGCTTCCAGTAATGTTTTCCCTATAGAAAATGCCACTGAAAGGAAGATATGGGCTGGTGGTGTTCTGTATTCACACTTGATGTGGTGTATACAATTATAATACATATATATAAAGTCAATTATTGTGTCATATCCATGAACCCAAACAGGTAAGCGCAGAGTGTTCCAGATGAACAGACCAAAGTCCATACAGGAGCAATGGGAGTTCCTCACTTCATATTTGGAAATAAATTGCCCATGTACTCCTCTAGATGGAAGCACAGTATTTGGATTTCATTATTGCTCTGCTTGCTGAGAGAACACCTTGCTCGTTCCTGAAGTCTACCTCATACATCCAGTTATGTTGTTCTTCCTGATAGTTTTTCTGCTGTCTGCATTTAGGAAGAAATTATATTTCCCTGCGGGAAAAAAACACCCTAAAACCATAAATTGGAGGTCACTCTTGTATGTTCTTCCCTTAGTAACTGGTCTCTGTAGCTGGAAATTGCCCTGTAGATAACACATACGTGTATGTGTTCTGTCCCTGGGTAATGCTGGATGCTAGAGCAGACTAAAACCTAGTTATGAAAAGGAATTGGAGATGGTAAAAAAGGTGGCATGTGCTTTCCTGTAGTGCAGACTCGTGGCTAGGTTGATTGGGTTTAGGGTGTAATGGGGTGGAGGCTTCAGGCAGTGCTGTAATTCAGATAGTGGTCAGATACTATGTAGGGTTTTGTAGTGTGAATTCTCTTTGTCACTTAAATGGATGAAGGAACTGCTTATGAAAGCGGGTCCCTACTAAAAGCAGAATGATGTAGGAACAAGAGAACTACTGGGTAACGTGCCAAAAATGGGACAAAAGCATAATAATGCAGTGGCCAACCATCCTGTGTTACAAAAAGGGGGGTCACCAAAGGATTAGGATGAGTGTGTGTGTGAGAGAGAGAGAAATCCAGAGCGAGGATGCTGCGGGACATGCAGACGTCCGTGTGAATGGAGGAGGAGACCATGCAGGCGATGAAATGAAGCATTCTTCTGTGCTTCAATTCACAATATTCAAATTGGGACTGCTCTGTTTTCCACTGGATAATAATACAGGGCATTGTACATCACTGTTCATTTGTTCACAGCAGCTGAGCTGACAACGTATGGGAGGGAAAACGTTGGGATGGAGCATTTTATGGCTCTGGTGACTATGTAAATGTTTAATATAAATGTTGGAATAATTCTTCCTCAGTGATTTCTCTTTGCTGTTGTGCTTGCTGCTTGCATTTAATTCTCATGACTTATAAAATCCAACACCTAACTGTTTTTGTTCCTTATGGAATATCATTATCCATTAATGTGATGGTTATTAGGTCAAATCTAATGGGCTGTACAGTGCCTAATTGTGCCTGGTTTTGAGGAGGAGCCTGCAAACTGCCTGAGGTTTAGGCAGGGCCCTGCTTTATGAGTCCAGGTTGTTCCTCACAGCTGCAGCAGAGGGCTGATGATTTTCTTAATAAGTAATTCCAGCCCTGGACAGCTGTTGGTTTTATAGGTTCTTCAAATTTAGAGATCTTTTTTCCACTCAAGTTCATTTTGAAGCATAATAATGCTTGTTTCTAGGACATTAATCTAATAAATGTATCCGTAAACTATCCGGATGGTGATGGTTTTTGCTCAGAAATAAGCTTATTGGGTCAGGCAAAGCTGAGCTAAAAAGAGGGAAAAAAAGAAATAAGGGTTAAGAAAGAATTAAATGAGTAGATAAGAAATATTTCATCCTGTTACTAAACACTCTGAGCTGGCATCAAGAAAAAAGTCCCTTCAGTTCCTCACAACCATGGTCCTCAGACAATGAGGGCCAGCATCATTTGATACAGGTAGTGCCTTCTAAAATGAAAAGCATACTATAGTACTTTACAGACTGTGACTAAGAGATTCAGCTACTCTATAGTAAGTGAGAGCTTGATTCAGGTTTTACTGGATGAAATATCTGTGGCATAAGGGGCCTTTTGCTTTGGAAAGAATTAGATTTCTAAAGACCATTTTGGTAACAGCTTGCAGCTGCATCAGTCTCCGAGCAGCTTGAAGTGGAGAAGCCTTTCCAGGTCTAACAGTTCAGAGGCCAGCTCAGCTTCTGTATCAGAGCAGTGCGGGTGGGAACTAACCACTGCTCCTGCTTCGAGGGGATGAGGTGTGCTCTGTTTAGGGACTCTAACTGGAAGGGCTCCATTGTGTAGGCTATATTCTGTTACATACTATAGAAACCAAGTGGGCTTGGTTCTAAACCAGTTGCATTTGGCAGATTCACTCTTAATATGCTAACTATTTTAATATGTCTGTAAAAAAAAACAAACAGTAATTACTCAGCCTCTATTTGAAAAGCTTTCTGGGTAGTTTCTGTGGATGTAAGAAATGATTGTCAGAACTTTTCTAAAGTGATTTTCCATTGTAGATTTGGCATCATTCTTTCTACAATGAACTCCGGGTTGCACCAGAGGAACACCCCATCCTGCTGACTGAGGCCCCTTTGAATCCAAAGGCCAACCGTGAAAAAATGACTCAGGTAATCATCTGAATCAGAGGATCCCAGAATGGTTTGGGTTGGAAAGGGTCTTAAGATCATCCAGTTCCAACCCCCTACCATGGGCAGGGACACCTTCCACTAGACCAGGTTGCTCAAGGCCCTGTCCAGTGCCTTCTTAAACACTGCCAGGGATGGGGCATTCACAACATGCGGTGCCACAGACCATTGTTGCATGGCAGCACATAAAGATAGAAATAGTCCTGAGTGTTCAGCTTCTTATGGGAGATAATCCCTTATGGTTAGTGGGGGTTAGAACACAGACTTAAGCCATGATGAGAAACAAGAGTTTGCTGCTCACACAATATCAGATTTCCAGATGGCCCTAAAATGGTTTGTACTTATGTGTGGCAGTGATATATAAGCAACTTACCTCTTAAAACTTGAAGTAATTCTTTTTGTTCACCAGACTGCGTGTGTTCAGTTCTGGAAGTGGGGAAGCTGGAGGCAAAGGTGGCTTCTGATGCCGAGTTTCAGTGTGAGATAACCCAGGAGTCATGTAATTTGTTTTGAAGGAGTGATGAGTCATCGGTGTATTTAAAAGTGAGGTTTGCAAGTGCTGTAACACAGGTTGTGCACCAGCTGAATCACACTTCTCTGTGAGGTTTGGATCAATGACGCCTTTCATGTGCCTACCTCAGGCCACCAGGAGTGCTCAACCTTTAGTAGCTCAACTCCTCAGCTCATTCTGTCCCAGCTCCTGCTTTCTACCCTGAAGACTGTCACTTTATCAACACTTCTGCATCACACAGGATGCTAGTTATTGTATCAGAAATGTGCTTTTTGGGGGAAGATTTGAATAAAGAGGTTTGGAGTCCATCATGCAGATGACTTTGTGAAGCTCCCCACTGGAGCACCCTTTCAGGTTCAGGGGGAAAGCAATCAAAACCTGGAATGTTTGTGCTGGCTTGGGAAAATGAGTTGTCTGAAGCATTCAAGCTTAAATGATGCTTTGCAAAACATTTCTGTCTGTGGCATATTCAGTCTCATTTAGCAAACCTGGATCAGAACCAGAAGTCAACCTCTGAAATTTCTGTATTTTCAAGCAGCCTTCTGGCCAAATATCCACATTATAAATTCAGGAGTAACTAGAAGTAAATGTGATTTAAATGCAGATATAGGTATAAAATCACCTGGGAAAATCAGATGTGGCTCTGCACTTCCCTTTGTGCCAGCTTTTGGCATATATATCTTAGGAAGATTATGCATCAATTTAGCAACAGTGTAAATAAACTGGTTAAGTAGTGAGCTTGACAGCACTGGGAGATAATACAATTGGGAGATAATAAACAATAGACCATAAGAAAAGCCTAGTTTATAGCAAGCAGAAAGTGTGGTTCATACAGTAGCCGTGTCTATGACTATTTTTCTGTCATTATACTGCGATGATAAATCCTGTTTTCAAGATTGTTTAAAGGCTTATTGTTTATTCTTGATTGCATTAAATTAATTACATTAGCTATGAAATACCAGTAATTTGTGTATTGTTTAATTGAAAGCATACTTTTCATTAAAAGTAGATTTCCTTGGCAAAGGGATTAGATTATGAAATCCAGAGTTTTAACCCCCTGATGTCAGTGGCTCTGATAGGTACAATGGTGATGGTGGAGTCACCATTCCTGGAGATATTAAAAGATGTGCAGACGTGGTGCTTATGGGTATGGATTAGTGGTGGACTTGGCAGTGTTAGGTTTATAGTTGGACTTGGCCTTAAGGGTCCCTGCTAACCTAAATGATTCTGTACTCACAGCAGCACCACTAGTGATGGGGTAGCCCTGCCCTGGGTAGGTGGCATTGGTTTAAGAAAGGATACAGTGCCTGGCGTTGTCCAGAGTGTGTTAGTTCAGTGTGTGCCCTTAAGGGGTTCCTTTAGCAAAGCCCCAGTGGAATTCCAACTGGAAACAAATGTTATTCCATCTGCTCAGATAAAATTGCAGTTTATCTGACACAGGAGATGGAAAGAACTGAAGCTTGTTAGAGTACAGGAGGTGGGGGATGAGACAAGAGAATATGCCCAAGGACACCGTATAGAGAAAAGAAACTGTTGTGTTTGCCGAGGGGGCAGAATGAGATGTAATGGGTTCAAACTATGCCAAGTTAGGTTCTACACCAGGAGAATCCTGCTAGTAGTAAGTATAGTGTGTTGCTAGATTGTATTGTAGTGATAGGACAAGGGATAATGGCTTCAACCTGCCAGAGGGGAGACTGAGATGAGCTCTTAGGCAGAAGCTCTTCCCTGTGAGGGTGCTGAGGCGCTGGCAGAGGGTGCCCAGAGAAGCTGTGGCTGCCCCATCCCTGGCAATGTTCAAGGCCAGGCTGGACACGGGCTTGGAGCAAGCTGCTCTAGTGGAAGGTGTCCCTGCCCATGACAGGGGGGTGGAACTGGATGATCTTAAGGTCCTTTCTAACCCAAACCATTCTGTGGTTTGTTTGCCAGAGGAATCTGTGGATGCTCCAGCTGAGGAATTTCTGAGACAGAACCAAAGCTGTGTCAGAATGGCAAATTCTTCCTTGAGATGGGAACAGAAGGATTATTCCTCATGACTCCTTCAGCTGGGTCTTCCACGTGTTTCTTAATATGTGTGTATAAATTATATATCAACCTTAGGTTGCTGCATTGTTGCAGTCCTGCCATCAGGGTTATCCCAAAGTGTCATCGTCAGTTCTTCTAATGAAATCCTAAAGGAAACATAGTGTGCTGTGGAGTAGTAACTGGCAGTATTCATTCAAAAAAGAATAGATTTACTGTCTCTTCAGATACTCTTAAGTGCACATCCTAAAGGTTTTAATATTCTTCCTTCCAGATCATGTTTGAGACGTTCAATGTGCCAGCCATGTACGTAGCAATTCAGGCAGTGCTGTCTCTGTATGCATCTGGAAGAACAACTGGTGAGTCGTTCTGGGAGTTGTATTTTCCTCCTGTCCTTCTCCTGTGGATGTATATCTTGTGGATATATGTTGATTATGATGCACCAGCTGTGTTTTAAGAAGCACTGATAGCCCTGTGGAGACTGAATGCTTCCCACCATGCTGTGCAAGTGCTTCTTTGTTGTTTTCAACTTTGTGACAGGTAAGGGTATAGATTTATGGATTTCTGCTTCAAAAGCTCAACTGGCTACAGCTCAACTGTATGAACAGATGAAGGATGGTCTGGTTTGATGCTGCCCTTAATTGCACAGCATGGAGATGAGGCTGTATCGTAACTAGATGGTTCCAATCCCGTGGTTCCTTCTTTCTTTAGACCTGCCTCCATTGTTAAGCTGCATTCCCAACAGGAAAGAAAAAACAACCCTTCAGTAGCCAGATGAAAATACTTTATTTAAATGTTGAATTTCTATCACATAATGATGTCTGCTGTTAAGCGACCATTTGAATTAGCATGGAGGTGTTTTCTTATTGCCATTTAGAGTCTGATCAAGCATTAAGACAATAAATTCTTAGCAACCCTTGAGTCTTCATATACTTTGAAAACAATTAAACTACCATCTGTCTTTGTAGCCTGATGCCACAATATGATTTTGTATATGACAGGAGTTGTGAGTGTCATAAATACTGGCTTTCTGCATAAAATTTGACTATTTGTATGCATGTTTGGGATCAGAAATGCCTTATTCATTGTGAGTGGAAAACATGGACTTCATTTCCTAGCCAAGAATAACATGGGCTGTGCACAGATAAACCATTGGTGCATTTTCCCTAATGGGGTGGTTTATTTTAATGGCAGATTCCAATTTTTAGCCTTATAGAGAGGTTTTTATTTACAGTTTGTACATTATTTCATGTCTGTAAAGCGCTGAGGGCGGTCTGAAATGAAAGCCTCTGCATACATGGAGGATCATTATTGCTGGTGTCTGTTCAGCAGGAACAACACAATCAATTTGCTGAACGTTACATGTCTTTTTTTCCCCAAGCTGCTTACTTTGTGCTAATGACTTTGTCTCTTGCAAGCAGCTCTTTAGTTATAGAAATGACAGAAACAATCATCATGCGAGCATCTTCGTCGTTGCATGTTTCAGTTGACAATATGGAGTATGTCCCTGCCCATGGCAGGGGGGTTGGAACTGGATGAGCTTAAAGTCTCTTCCAACCCAAAGCATTCCGTGGTTCTATGATTCTATGTGGAGACCCTGTATCCGTGGAAAATAACCAGCTTCTCCTTTACTTTCACTTCCTAGGAATAGTTCTGGATTCTGGGGATGGCGTCACACACAACGTGCCTATCTATGAGGGCTATGCCTTGCCTCACGCCATCATGAGGCTCGATCTTGCAGGCAGAGACCTCACTGACTATCTCATGAAGATTCTCACTGAGAGAGGCTACTCCTTTGTCACCACTGGTAATGAGCTATGCTTTGGATGCCCTTTGCTTATGTTTGTTCTATTAGTTGTCTTCGTATGAAGGAAGCGTGTGCGAGGCAAGATGCTTCAAAATGACTTTGGCTTTCAGCATGGGTGTTGAGCATCAAGGATGAGGATGCCACCTCATTAGGAAATCCTGTGTCACTGACAAATATAATCGGTTGTTGTGTCTGATCAGATCTCTTCCACAAACAAAGGAACAAAGTGAGTAGCTGGTAATGGATAAACCTCAAGGTTTTGCGACATAAACACGTAAATATTAATCTTTACAGCGTTCTGTAGCACAATACATCTCTTTTTTTCGCTGATGAGTGGTGCAAAGGGAAAGAGATGTTGTTGAGACAACAGAGAGGTGAGAATCCAATTAACTGTGTGACCATCATGAACTCAGGGAAATGTGCATGAGTAAATCTGTATCCTATCTATCACACTGTAGGCTGATTAAAACCTTGTTCCCTGTCTGCAGCGGAACGGGAGATTGCGAGAGATGTCAAGGAGAAGCTCTGTTATGTGGCACTGGATTTTGAGAATGAAATGGCGACTGCAGCTTCCTCCTCCTCTCTTGAGAAGAGCTATGAGCTTCCTGATGGACAAGTCATCACCATTGGGAATGAACGGTTCCGGTGCCCGGAAACTCTCTTCCAGCCATCCTTCATAGGTGGGACAGGACTGCTCTTTCTAGGGACTTGGCAGAGAATGAAAAGAAGGATGTCTTAGGAAGTACAGACAACCTTCAGCTGGAGGAATCGAGGTGTTTATTCTGAGATGTCCTTAGAAACATGCAGCTTCTGTTGACTTAATCAGTTCTTTGGAAGCTATGGACACTGCTGCTTAGAAATACCTGAATTGGATTGTTTCAGTCTCTTATAAATGCAGTGGAGTTTCTAAGATGATGTTTTAGAGCACTGTCAGATCATGCTTTTTATCTAGACTGGCTGGTACATAACTGCACAGTGCCGTTATGGGGGTTTTAATCGAGGTACTGCTTCCATTTAGTGTTATATTAATCTGTAATTGAATTACAGAAAATCAGATCATACATCATTCTCCAGTAGTTTTATCTTTAGTGTTAAAATTCCCGTTCTCTCCAGTGGATGACTGACACCTTACGTGGGAACTCATGGGAGTTCTGTAGGAACTCATGCTGCCCTCACAAATTTCCCACTTCCCACTTAAATTCCTCTCACAAGGACTGTGCGAAATGGCTGCAGGCAGTTTGGCATGATTTCCATCACACTGAATGGTGAAGCTACGTTTGTGTGTAGAAAGGAAACTATTCAAGCGTTAATATAGCTCCAAGTTCTGTATTTGAGCATCAGCAGGAGAAATTCTCTGTAGCAGATGGAGGGATTTGGCTGTGAGAAGTGTATCAGAGATGAGTTAGGCTTCAACAATGGTCACAATCAGAAACGCAGCGATGGAAATCAGGATTTCCTGGATCACAGATCTGGCCAAAATGTGTGTGTGAACCTAGTTAAAAGGTCTGATTCTTCCAACTGTTTTCCCAGGACTGTATCTGGTCTGTTCCTTTCTTTAGGAGAAAGTAGTACCAGAAGTTAGCTTTGCTGTACTGGCATTCAAATTCAACTACACGTCAAAAGCAAGGTAGCTCACTGAGACGCCAAGTGGGCTTCTGTTGCCAGCTAACAGCATCAGAAATCATTATAAAAATGGCAAACTATTGCAGTAATGCCTTATTTTAAATGTTTTCTTAAATGTTAAATCATTTTTTTTACTTGAGGAAGTAGCAAAGCCAGTATGAAATCAGAACAAGGATCTTCCTTCCCCTCAAGTGTATTTTGCTTGGATAATTACTATGCTGAGATTACAAAGGTGAGGAGGATGTCTTGTCTTTGTCCTTCCTCTCCTAAGCATCGTGTAACTGGAGCTTTCTAAAGGGAGACAGCTTGGACTAGGGAGCCTTCCTCTCATTTTAACAGTGAGAAGCAAGGGGACGAAGAGAAATAACGTGTTAAAACTTCTTTCCACTCAGGGATGGAATCTGCAGGTATCCATGAAGCCACTTACAGCAGTATTATGAAGTGTGACATCGACATCCGTAAGGATCTCTATGCTAATAATGTCCTCTCTGGAGGAACCACGATGTATCCTGGGATTGGTGATCGGATGCAGAAAGAGGTTACAGCTTTGGCTCCAAGCACCATGAAGATTAAGGTAATTTCGAACACCTGCACTTAAAACCCAAGCCTTTGGTGAAAAGTTAGGTCTTAAAAACAAATCAAAATGTCCTTAAGAGAATGTCCAGGTCTTGCATCCCAAGTCCTGATGTTAAGAGAGCCTCAGGCAACCTGCTTACTTAATGCCTCTTTTCTTCCTATCAGCCAAAGTAGAATTCAAAGAGGGATTTGAGAGGTACTGGAATAAAGCCATGGGAGTTGATGCAGTCACTTTGAGACAATGTGAAACAACACAGAACTGTTCTTTCCTAAAGAGGAGAAAGAGTCATAGAATCATAGAATCAAATAGTTCGGAAAAGACCTTTAAGATCATCAAGTCCAACCTTTAGAGTCCCATGCGATTCCTAGTGAAATAGAGCTATGAGGGAGTAAAGGGCTACTTGAAAGACTCCACAGAACAGTAAGAGAGGTAGGGATGAACCTACAGAAGATGGAGCTGTAGACACTAAAGGAGGCATGAGCAATGCAAGAAGATATTGGGAATATTATAAGCTTTGAGGCTTAGTGATCAGTGAAAGTCATTAGTGATAAAGGGAGAAGAATGAATCCAAAATCCAAGCAGCATGCAAAGTCTGCACTTTGTTAGCTGCTTGAAAGGACCTTCTCAGCTTGGACTCAAGATGCTGTATAGTGAAAGAGAGTCATAGAATCACAGAACGGTTTGGGTTAGAAAGGACCTTAAGATCACCCAGTTATAACCCCTGACATGGGCAGGGAAAGAGACCCTTTTTTAACAGGCAGCAGCCAGCATGTTGAATGAGCATGGCAGGGAGTGGCAGGAATGGAAATAGGATGCAGGAGCAGGGATGCATCCAGTGTGGTTTAGAAGTTCAGTGGCTCAGGGGAGAATCAGATTAGCAGGGGGTCTTTTAGCTCTATAAGCAGTGCTCAGCTGGATGCACAATGCCATGTCTCAGTGTTTTGTGGGGTTTTTTTTTCCTTTACATTGAAGAATTCCTTTATCCTTAAAAAAACAAAAGAAATGCTCAGGCCATTCTCTTGTGTTGTTCCAGTGGTCTTTAATTGCAGTCAAATTAGGTTAATGTTTCAAAGCTTTCATATATGTTTATAAGTTTTGGTAGCTGTTTTATGGGCTATCTGCAGAGATCTCATGTGCTGCTCTATTTGTCTGCTCATAGTAATGTTATAGTGGCTTTCTCAGTTTGAGGTGGAAGACAAAATATGGCAGCCTTTCTGCCTCTTAGGTGGTTTACTTCCCTGTTGTGCTCCATTGAGTTGTGCTTCCCTGAGGAAAAGACTCTAACCTACTTATTTCACCCAGAGGGACGTTTACTGTGTTACCTGCTTGTCACTGTTTACAACAGATTGCACTTCTCTTGTAGATGATTGCACCACCCGAACGGAAATACTCTGTGTGGATTGGGGGTTCAATACTGGCATCCCTGTCCACTTTTCAGCAAATGTGGATCAGCAAAGAAGAATATGAGGAAGCTGGTCCCTCTATTGTCCACCGCAAGTGCTTTTGAGGCCTTCCATCATGTACTGTCAGTGATAAGTAGTGCTGTTTCTCTACACATCACCTCTGAGGGTGGGTTGGCTTTCTTCCACATGGTAAAGAACCACACTGTATGGGTGTCATATGAATTACCAAATTATTTCTGATATTTGATGCTAAAGTGAGACTAACACTTCCGTGGTGGGTGTTTTCCAAGATCAGTAACAGCAGTTATCCTGTACATTTGTATAGACCTCCCTTTCCCCCACATTTGCCACTGTTTTGCTGCCATCCAGGAGGTGACACACGCTGCTGCTGTGTGTTAGTCTCTGCTATCAGTGGTAAGTCTGAAGTATGTCCTTAAGTGATTCATCAAACTCAAGCATAATGCAGGATGTATGTACTGGAGAGGGCTGTTTATATGCAGTTAATGCTGTTTGGATTCCTCTAAGGGGGTTTATCTTACCAAGGACACAGTGGATTTATGTGGGTACCAGTGTGCACATGGGTGACAGTATGGATGTCTCCCTGGTATCCTGCAGTTGTTAGGCTGGAGACTTTTGTCTCCCTGTGACCACCACTCCCCACCAGTAAGGAGCTTCAACAAGCTTCAGTACTTCTGAATATACATGTAACAAGTGATTTATTGGATGTATTATTGCTTTCTTCATCCCTCTTCCTAAGCAGTCAACTGATGTTTCATTTACTTGTGCTGTAGATGTGCTATGCTGAGCTAAGCTAATGATTACAGAGTAAATAATAACCTTTGGAATGTGTTATTGAAACACCCTGGGTTTAATGGATCAATAAAAGCGTAGCTGTCCGTGGAAGGCTGCTGTGGCTTACATTAATTTCATAGTGACTAGTTTAACTATTAAAATAATAATTAGGAGGTTATGTTTTAATTTTATTATGGGAAAGGTTTCACTGCCTCCGAGTTTTCCAGCTAAACAATTCCAAAATGAGAACAGAATTGTTCCTCGGTGTCTATTATAAGAAATAATCTTCCTGGATGATAAATTTTCATAATGCTCTGTATGGAAATGAGAGTCAGCTCTGAAGATTTTTCTCTTTCTCATACCAGGCACTTGTGTTCCTTATGATTCTGGATGCTGTTGGCTTTGCAATGAGGTGATGTCAGGCTTGATGTGCATTTCCTGATTTAAATGAAACCTGTCAGGATGCTGCCAGTAAACACAATATCCTCTTTCAAAGATGGGGAAAAGATAAGAGTTGGGTTTATGGACTTCTGACAATGCATCTAGGGAGATGTTTTAAAGAATCTTCTTACTACTGCGAGTTCCAGCTCAGGGTGATCTCATTTCCTTATCCAAATGATTTCTTCATGGTAAAAGAAAAGACCTGTAAGGGAAGGGTTTTTCCAAGGTCTGTTGTGGCCAGCACTACCGTATAATTAAAAAGAAATGGATCTTGCCTTCATTCCCCCTGTTGAACAGCAGTCAGTCCAAACCACCGGTATCCACGGCTTCTCAAGCAAATGTAAATCACTGCAAATTTCTCAGCCTCAGAATGAATTCTACTGCAAGTTTATTATCTTGGTCTCAGCCTGTATGCTTGCTCGCTGCTTAAGCTGCTAATAAATCACCTTACGTACAGGAATAGCACTGTTAACTGGCCTTATCACCTGCCTGAGCAGCATCACTTACATTCTAATCTTGACCTCTTGTAGGTGCGATGGTTCTCAGATCCTTGGAACCAAATTACATTGGCAATCCCCTGTAGTATTAAAGCAAAATTCTATCCCATTTGCTAATAACCTACTTGTCCTTGTTTCAGTATTAAAAATAAAGGATATTCTTTAGGTTTTCAGTTTATTTTTTTAAATATATCCTTTCAGGATATAGTTACAGCTTATTAATGAGGAAAATAAAGGGAAAAGGTTTAAAAGAATGTAATCTTTTTGTAAGTGGCAAGGGAGGTACATGTTTACAGCACTTGACTATAACTGAAGGAGTCCTTTGGGCTTTTCTGCTCCTCTCCCTTCCCCAGGTCCCCTTCCCTCATTCTCCCTAACAGAATCCTCTTCAGCCCTTGCTTGGCATCTCTGGCTCCTGCCACAGCTGGGGCTGAGATGTGAGCTCTCCATGGCTAGAATATGAATCCTCATCCTGCAGCTGACTCCTTTTTCAGTGTGGAAGAGCCTGGCGATGCTCTGAATACCTCCCTAACAATCTGCATGTGGAATCTCATTCAAATCCACATGCATTTTGAACATAGAATTAATGATGTGCTAAGAGCAAATGCAGATAAAAATAAGGAAAATTGTTAAGCTGGTTGTGTGGTTTGGCAAACCTCTGCTTCTCTGAGAGGAAATTGCCTTAGGCACAATGTGAGTTCTGCTTTCCTGTATGGGGTTGGAACTGAGAGTAGAGAATACCCATAGACAAGATCAAACACTTTCCTGGTGTTCCCAACTACCCTTTGGTTACCATTTCACTTGATTCTGTGGATGTAATTTATTAAACCCACTGAATATTTGCCATCTAGCTCTTAAATGTGAATGCCATCTTGCAAACGCTTTCTGACCCTTCTGTTCCTGTAACACTGCCTTTCTGCTCTGCATTTCACATGGAATCATAGAATAGTTCAGGTTGGAAGACACCCTTAGGCTCAACTGTTAACCTAACACGACCAAGTCCACCACAATATAAGCCAATACCTCAATTGCAAAAGGTATTTAAATAAATATCTGTGCATTAAGATCACATAAAATGAAATCACTGTGCAACACCAGCAGTTCAGAGATAATGTCTCTTATGGAAGTCTGACACTTAGTTATGGTCAGCAAGGCTTCCCTATTAAATGATACAGGATCTGGGGTGAAACGTTATCAGTTGTGCCACAGACTTTGATGTTTGCTCATAAAATACAAGCAGCATTTTGAGGGTTTCTTTTGGGAGCTTTTCACTCCAGTTTTGCTGTTTTATCCTTCTTGGGACTATAAACTAGGAAACGAGCGAACTCGGTTTTAGGGCTTTGCTGGCATTCCAAGAATCTCTACATTCTGACATTCAGAGTTCAGAGGCAGAGGCACATTTGGGTTTTTTTACACAAGCAAATCTGTTTTGAAAAGCAGCAGCATTTTAGAGACACAAAATACATGAGCCCTTGAGTAGCTCCAAATATCAAGGTAATACAAAGGAGATGGAAAAACCCTCAAACTAATCATTAACCTGTGATCAGAATGATTGTTGGGTCATTTTAACTGGGGTTGGTGGGTTTCAGAAAGCAAATGACATCTGCTTTACCTCTTGTATGTACAATAGGAGGGAGGAGAGAAAAATGTCTAATATTGAAAGCAAATCACCTTTGTAGCAAGCTCGAAATCGCTGGGGACACCTGGGATGAACTCACCCTTCTTTCTATGTGGGAAGCTTTTAATGAAAAAGGAAAAGGACCTGGTGAACTTTTACTGCAAAGGTTAATAACATAAAATACCAAGGAGCATTTTATAGAAGAAGCCAAGCCTGCAGATCTCATTACCTGGGCCTCCTGATCATGCATTCATGGCCAACAAGAGAAGTGGAAAACACATTTGACACGTTTAAAGGGTTATAGTGAATGGTGTTCATGTTTCTGATTCCATTCCCGGTGCGCTTTTCTTGTTAATGGAAATATAAAAGACCACTGAGGTCATCCAGGCTGTCTTCCAGCCCAGGCAAGCTGTTCCCTCACCAGATGCTGACGGCGAAGAGACACGTGTCTGACTGCAATCAGTGTCAAGGTGAGGGCAAGATTTCAGTCCCTGTTCATCCATTAGCAACTGCAGTAACTCATTGTCTGTTCTACTTGTATCAATTTTAGGTGAAGATCTTGATTTCTGTCGCAAATCCACAGCTAGAAAATCAGGGGAGAGGTGTGGAGTCATTGACTGCCCTCAGTGAGAGAGCATGGCCGAGTCTTCATCCCATCCTGGAAGGGGACCAGTTTGCAAAGCCTTGAATAATGAAAGCCACCCAGATGACACATCTCTCTGGAGCTGGGGATTTCAGGAAGCAGTAGTCCTGGGAGAAAGACAACAAGAATCATGCTGTACTGACAGCAAGCAATGGAAATTGCAAGCTTTGACAGGAATTAGATTTGCAAAGGTAGAAACCATGCTCAGCAACATGACAAGCTAATATGAGACGAACAGGTTGAAATATCTCTTTCCTGTTTGAGGTTAACCTTGGGCAAGAATGAATTTGTTGAATTTTAATATGGAAATATGTCCTGGCATGTATTCCAAACACCCTCCAAACAGTGATATTGATCTGACCTTCAATTAATGTGAGAGGCCCCCTGCAAAAATCAGATCTGGGTTTGAATGGCAAATAGCTTTAATATTCTGAGGAGAGTGGATCATTTCCACGTCTCAGTTTGAGACCATAAATCACCAGGTTTATGGAGGTTTTTTTATTATCATTTTAATGCAGGCTTCTTTCCCTGGAGCAAAGGACCAAAAGCGTGATGTATGATTAAAAAATCACCCAGATGTCAGGAGGTACAGACAACAAATAATGTATCTGTACAAAAGGGAGTTATTTGAAATCTGTTCCTGCTCTCCGTTGCCACATTATTCAGGTACCTGCTGTATTTTGGTAGTGGGCTGGAATGAACACTCCCCATCTTTACCCTTTACACAATATGTGGGTATCATTCACCTTTCACACAGCGTCCGTTCTAATGGCCAGCCTGTGCCTCCCTCACCTTGATGCAGCATCCCATATCCCACCCTACCATAAAGGATCACGAGGTATTTGCACTCACAACTCATTGCTACCAAGACTACGTAGCAAACTGAGTGGTCTTGATAGAGCAATATGGGTTTTAATTAAAAATACCCAAGAAAACAATTTGTTCTTTTGATACTTTTGGCAATAATGAGAATTCAACCAGGAGGTTTCCCTACCCTCCTGTCCTACCTGTTCTTGAAGTCTTTGTATCGTCTTTATACCACCAGAGTCTCAATTCTCAGTTTTACAGGTATAGTAACAGCTGGGGTACTTCTGTGGCTGCACACCTGTATTTTAGGGAACACCTGAGTGCGCATCAATCCACTTTTCTTACAGCTGATTGATTTTTAATAGCAGTCCTGTTCCATCTGGGCTGTTAGCAAGTAACCTTTCTTAGCCAGGAAGTCATACATGGGTTCATTGAAGCTGATCCTGAGCAGTTTTCCATAGAACTGTTGATCATCCAGGTGTGAACTTTGCAGGTTTAGTCTCTTAACTGATTTCCCATCTGGCCCAGAGAAAATTGTGTCCTTACAGGACTTCACAGCCCTTAATTAAACCAGGTACGGAAAATACCCAAGCTGAAAGATCAGCTTGACCAACTGGTCCCCATGATTTGACAATCCATAGAGCAGGTGATGACCTTATGCCCTAAGGACTGTCCTCTTCAATGGCAGCTTGACCTTGGAAGCATCAGTTCACCTTTTGCTTACCTTATTGGATAAGAGAGAAGATGGGCTCCAGTCTGCTTAAACTTGCCCATTTGGTGCCCCTCAAGTTCCAGATGACAATCCTGTCCGCCCACTTCCTGCTGTTGCTTTGTCTTACCTCTGTTATTGGATGCATCTACCTACTCCTCTGCTCAAAGGTGAAGGATGGAGGAACTGGGTAGAGCTTTGTTTAATTGCAAGGTGAAAAAGCGTTAAATAAGTGCTGAGGTCTAGACTTGGAGCTATTTTTTTTGTAAGATCTTTTTATTATACCACGAAATATCATCAATCCTCTTCTGATTTCTTATATAGGCTTATTATACATAGCAATAAGTGGCTATATATGGAGTTTGTCTTCAGATACTGTCACTACTCTGGGCTTTT